GATTTTGTCCAGGAGAGTTGAACCCGGCTGACATTCCATCGCGAGGGTGTGTCGTAAAGGAACTAGTGAACAACAAATCATGGTGGAACGGCCCAGAATTTTTGAAGGAGAATCCCGAATCGTGGCCAAAGTCAGCAACGACAAATACCAATGAGCTGGCGGACAAGGAGTTGCTAAAACATCCACCTGTTGTTACCAGCTCACTTCCTTGTGTTTCGAAGAATGTATCTCGTGTTGCCAACTTAGAAAATATTATCGACATCGAAAGATACAGTACCAAGATTAAGTTACTCCGAGTAACTGCAATTGTGATGAGATTCGTGAAATTACTGAAACGAAAGGCGAATGTTCCTACAAAGCATTTAACCAGGGACGAATTGAGGACGGCAGAAATTGATTGGATTAAGTCTGTGCAAACTTGCTCTTTCAAAACGGAACAAAATGCATTAATGAAAGGCGGTATGGCTTGCTTACACCAGTTTGAACTACAGCTTGATACCAATGGATTAATTTGTTGCAAAGGACGGTTGCATAACGCCGACGTTCCAGAATCTAGCAAGAACCCTATTATACTGCCGTCACGGCATAGATTTACGGAACTTTTAATTCGTGAACGACATGAAGATATCCATCATCAAGGCATTCGTGATACATTGAACTCCATTCGACAACAATACTGGATACTGAAAGGCAGAGAGGCCGTAAAACCAGTTACGAGAAGATGTGTTGTATGTACAAGACACGAGGGGAAGTCGTTTCCCACGCCACCAATGCCCGATCTTCCCACCAATCGTGTTGATGTCAGTCCACCGTTTGCAAACACGGGAGTGGACTACGCTGGTCCACTCTATGTTACGTGTGATTCGAAAACTAATGTCAAATGTTACTGTTGCTTGTTTACTTGTGCATCAACGCGTGCTATCCATCTAGAACTTACTAGAGACTTGAGTGCATTATCATTTCTACAGGCGTTCAGGCGGTTCACAGCCCGTCGTGGATTACCAGCGAAGCTACAATCAGACAATGCAAAAACCTTTAAAGCGTCGTCGGTAAATATCAGGAAGATTATGCAAGCGGCCGAAGTCAAGACTGATCTGGCAAACAAGCAAGTAGTTTGGGATTTTATCGTTGAGAAAGCCCCATGTTGAACTTTGAAGAATTACGCACGTTAATGGTTGAAATCGAGTGCACCTTAAATAACAGGCCCATGACCTATGTGTACGCAGATGACGAAGGTCTATCTTATCCTCTTACACCGGCGGACCTGGTGTACGGACGGCATATAGCAACGACACCGAATCAACGGTATTCGAATGTGTCCAGTACATACCAAACCTTGACGCGGAGAATAAAGTACCATTACAGATTGCTGCAAAACTTTACCCGACAATGGCGTAGAGAGTATCTTTGGGATTACGCGAAAGTGCAAGAAAGAATTCAAGTGTCGGAAGAAATTCAAGTGATATATCAGTCGGCGAAGTGGTGATTTTAAAGGACGATTCTACGGCTCGTTGTTATTGGAAATTAGCTAAAATTACCGAGTTACTTGAAGGCAAAGATGGAGTAGTTCGAGCAGCGAGGATTACCGTTCTTACTGCCCCAGGACATGGGAAAACTACTATATTACAGAGACCTATTAGCATCTCATACCTTTAGAGGTTCGATGCGCGGACACGAGTTAAACACTTGAACTAGAAGTTAGATTAAGATAAGTATTAATATTCGTACGAACAGTTATAAGTAATATGAGCAAGGACTCTTTATCGCTTCCCTACATATATTAAACCACCATCGGCAAACTGTTTGTCAGGTTGAGCTCGGTTTTCTGTGCTGCCGAATACTACGAGACCAGTCAAAGCCTTTATGGCATAATTATGGCTTATGTGCCCGGTTGTTGGCACATAGCCGCTTTATTGTTTTAATTAATTTTTAATAATTAACAAGAAAAATTATTAATTAATAACTAGATAACATTTAGCACAGAAAAGGTGGGGCATTACTAACGCCACAAGTCTCCTTGGGATAAAGGAGACACACCCCACCCCAACATGACAAATCGTTTGCAGATGATCGTGAAAAATATCTACATATACTGATACCACATGTTACGAAAACCTCAATCTATGTCAGTTTCACTGCACATGCTATTGTCAGTCAAAAGCAATGAACTTGCACTGGTCTACATAATAGCAGTACTATCAATTACCTAGTTGACTATATACTATATACAAGCCTCTACTGAAATAAATATGATCAGCTGAAATGTGAACTTTACCCCTGTGTCAGTTCAATATCCAACCGATCACGAATACGTGTCGCCAGATGCGATAAAATACCAGTTTCTAGCGAAATAACTAGTTTCTAGCTGAAATGTGAACCTTACCCCTGTGTCAGTTCAATATCCAACCGATGACGAATAAGTGTCGCCAGAGGCGATAAAATACCGTATTATACCAGTTTCTAGCGAAATAAATATCATCAGCTGAAATGTAAACCTTACCCTTGTGACGGTTCAACGTCCAGCGATGACGAAAAAGTAAGATAAAATACCTAGGTAATCGCCAGTTTCGGGCGAAATAAACATGCATGATCAGCTAAAATGTGAACCTTACCCCTGTTTCAGTTCAACATCCAGCCGGCAATGGAAAGGACAGATAGCCCGCTTCACCACTGATAAATACCGAAATTTCCAGTCACGTGACTATACCTAAATTAACTTGCGCGCGCAAATTACTTATTTCGCATAATTAATTTCAACCATAAATTATTCCGGGAAGCAATAAAAACTCTTATCGCTGTGGCAATAAGTTCCTTTAATTTTAACATAATTACATTCAAATTTTGTTGGACTTTTGATCACCTGATGGAGATCAACCCCCGGGAGTGTAACGTAGATTATTAGTTTAAGCGATATTTTTGTCGCGATTATTTTGTGTTGTTATTGCCCGTATAATTTTCGCGCGTTTTAGAATAAATTAATTACATATTCATAACAATGACCTCCAACTCCAAAATAGGAGGAACAGAGTCACAGATAATTGTGACTTGTAATTCCAAGACAAGTTCACAATTAAACTCATTAGACGGCCGCAAGTTACAGGTTCATGCATTTGCCACAAATTATAGTAATCTAACAATGTAAGCCTGTAAAATGCTACATGTGTATACTAGACACAGCAAGTGAATTAAAACCTATGGTGTAGTGTCGGATACTAACAGGCCTGGGGGGCTTTCAAAGGGAGTTGGGTGACAACATGAAAAGTATTTGGTTCTAGCAATTCTTGAATTAGTGTCTTTTGAAGTTAAGAAGAAGGGATTTGACTTGAAATTAAAGTTCCGATATAGCGCTGGCCCGCTTCTCTTCACTCACGGAAACAGTGGGAATATATGCTAGTGCCTTTCTTATATAAATATGTCAAAATAGCAGATGGAACCTATATTCCCACAGCCTGTATTGTCAGAATTGCATAAAAATAATTTGTTGTTATTTATTCAAGTACATAAAAAGTAGTTCACACTAGTGTTGCCGAAGTGTTCTTCAAGGATCTCAAGAATATATATACTGCACTGACAGTTGTTGGACCATATATAATTGAATCATTCATATCGATGTAAAAGGTACAAAAGGTAAACGTTTTCACTGAATCGAGACATGACATGAAAGTTCTTCTTACGTCACACAATCAGCTTGAGTCAGCTTGTCAGGAAACATTGATCTTATTGATGTAATTGTATTTCCATTGCAGTGACAGAAACAAATTTTCTCCTGAGAACAATTCCCGATGTATACTGCCGATTTTTTTTAGATATAGCCTATAGGTATATAGGCTACTGTCGCTATAATTTATAATAATGGCAATTTTCCACCAAAATGCGCACGATTCAGACTTTGAGGTCTTTGAAAAACTCACTCGTGCATGTTATATCCAAATTGCACTCGAAACCATGCTATTACCTATACAAAGTGTCGTCAACAATTTGAATAGAAATTTGTATATATCAACGATAAACTTTCAATTGAAACCTTGTCTTGATAAATGTCTTGACATGAATCGACGACAACGTGAATTCACTGCTCTGCAAAGTCACTCGTTGTCTCTAAACAATCCCAGTAAATCGCTGCGTCGGCTCTCGATAACGTTCTCAGCTCCTTAGTCAAAGTTCCCTTTGTATTTGCAATGTTGAAGACCAGGATTATTCGTTAATTTTACAGTTTTACTCGTCTTGTAACTTGTAAGCCATCGCGATCGTGTTGAAAACAAAATTTTCTTCACTCCTTGCCGTAAGCCCTTCCTACTCCCCCTAAGTTTGAGTTTGTCGAAATTTGCATGCGCGAGCCGGTATGCGCAGTGCAAATTTTTGTGTCGATTTATGGCAGGCATCTCACCAAACTTTTTCTCACCACCCGATTCCTCAGTGAGATGCCTGCGTTGGAGGCTAACTGCATGCCTTGTTGCAGGGATCGAAGCCACAGAGGTATAGTTTATTAGGCACATGCACGAAATATTGTTCTACCAAATACTTCTTTCATAAAACGTATAAGTGAAATATGGACTTCAATGATATGGTTTCCTGCACTTCACTTGTGGAATTGATATTAGAATGCTGTTTTTTAGGGTTAAATTCATTCATTTATTAGCGAATCCCAGCAGCCTTTCGCGCGCTCGTATTCGACTTTTCCTCTTTGCTCGGGGGACAACCTTAATTGAAATAGCTGTATACACTTTTAAGACCTGACCAGAAACGACTGCGAAAAATGCAGCACAAGGTCCTCTGCACCAGAATCGCAGGGCCGTAGGTTCAATTACTACTTATCTAAACTTTTAATTTTATATATATCTTCCTTTCAAATATAAATATATATAAGAAATTGATTAATTGAATACAAAAGTAAGTCTGATAACGGTAAACATTTTGAAAGTGATATTCATCATCACAGGTCATCATAATCTTCATTATATAATCTTCATCATAATCTATAGTCGAATAAACACTTTTCAACATGTTTATCGTTTTCGAATTTAGCTACCATAATATTGTTTTGTACTTAATTAAAATGAACAATTCTATAAAAAAATTATTCCTAGCCTTACCTTGGTTTTGTTTATGACTCTTAACGCTTTTCTACTGAGAGGTCAATCAGTTTACTCTTTATATAACCACTGACTTGCGTCTCACTTGATGTTGGCATGGCACCACGCAAATTGCATAACCATGCGGAATTATTTTGTTCAGATTGTCATCAGATATGAATAAGCATGCAATATCATACTTTATTTTTCACCCTGCTCGGTTTCCTTTGTTCTTGTCGGGGAATATATTCAATATTCTCCTCTAATCAATTTCCGTTTAATAATCCCCTCTAATATTCACCTGCAATTAATAATCCCCTCTAATATTCACCTGCAATGTCTTTGCAGCACAAAAAATGAGGAAAAAACAACATCGCGAAGGCAAAATGGCATTAAGAATTATTTCTTTTCTGACTCATTAACGCGACCTCGCAGTGTGAAAAATAAGTATAGGTTATTTTGAGGCAACGTGGGGATATGTGTTTACTCACCTCGGCGCTGCGCGCCTCGGTGAATAAATCACATATCCCCTCGTTGCCTCAAAATAACCTATACGTATACCCCATGATAATCATTTCATCATTCGACGAGCACATTACAGTATTGGACAGATATAGCACAAAAGTCTGAGCTGCATGCCGTATACCCCACAAACAAATGTCGTATACCCCAATTTAGGCATGTGTCTATCCGCATTGCATGGCAATTGAATATCCTTTTTATAAAATAATTACATTTGATGAATTAATGACCTCCAACTCCAAAATAGGAGGAACAGAGTCACAGATAATTGTGACTTGTAATTCCAAAACAAGTTCACAATTAAAGTTAGTTACAGGTTCATGCACTTGCCACAAATTATAGTAATCCAACAATGTAAGCCTGTAAAATGCTACATGTGTATACTAGACACAGCAAGTGAATTAAAACCTATGGTGTCGATAGTGCCGGACACTAACAGGCCTGCGGG